GTCGTTTCAAGTATACACCCACTTTTTCACCCCGTTTGTTACCCATTTTTATGGAGGACAAAGAGAAGAAGGAAAGAGGCGGGAAGAAGCCCGGAAATACATCTGTGCTACAACAACACCTAAGCGTGCCACCCCAAGTTGGGGAATCTCTGAAATGCAGTGCTTCAAATGTCAGGATGCCACAAGAGAGCACGTAGCACTTGAAACTATAGTCCAGGGCTACTGCAATACCGAGTATGAGAGACTGGATTGTGCATTTGAAATACAGTGTGAGCGTACAGGTGATTTAAGTTCCTGGTTTATGAGAGGGTAGCATAAGCAAAAGTAGCCCCCGGACTAGGTCCTCTTCAGCATTTGACCTGATAGGGACTGATACAGCAGCAGCAGCACGCAGAGGGAGGCTGTAGGATGCAGTGCTTGGGTATCACCACTGCACTCGGCCGCCCAGTTCAAATGCTCTGAAAGGAACCAGGGGTGATTTCTCATGAGAGCTGCCTCGCAGCACAGCTCCGTTTGCCTCGACACAAACGTGTCAATTTCACACCCGAAGCTCCGGGGCTGCATTTTGACTCGGGGCTTCGCTGGATTTCCTCCGCAGTTTCGTGATCCTGGTTTTTGAGGATCATGAAACTGCGGAGGAAATCCGGCTAAGCCCCGAGTCAAATACAGCCCCGGAGCTTCGGGTGTGAAATTGACACGTTTGTGTCGAGGCAAACGGAGCTGTGCTGCGAGGCACCTCTCATGAGAAATCACCCCAGGCTACAGAGTACACTGCAGTAAAATGCAGCTGGAACCTGAGGAGGGCAGTATGGGGTAAGTGGATATGCCACAACATGAAGTGTTCAAGGAGTATGCACATAGTAGATTGAGTGTGGCAGTTTTGAAAATGCACTGCTGTAACGTCTGATGGAACAAATTCTTACTCCCTAACCGACATGGCTGTGTCTCCTTCCCTTCCCACTCCCGTCTGCCCCATTCAGAAAATGGTGACCGCACTGGATAAGAACTGGCACCCCGAGCACTTCTGCTGTGTCAAATGTGGGCAGCCCTTTGGGGAAGAAGGTGAGTGTGTGTGGTGGGGGGCTGGCAAGACACCCGGGAGGGTAGACAGGGAGGAAAGATAGTGGTAGATGCAGATTATAATAATAGTTGTGTAATATTGTGTTCACAAGGGTTACTTCGGAAATTTCTGGAGGTTTAGGAGTGGTGCCTAGGGAAGGGGGAGAGTGGGGATACGATGTTAATCTAGGATTTCCATATCTCCTTGACTCTATGGTTAGCATAGAGCTCACCTTCCAAAGCTGCTGTTTCCTCCAAGGGAACTGATCTTTTCTAGTGTGGAGGTCAGTTGTAATTCCAGGAGAAATCCAGGCCCTGCTTTGATGTACATGTTCACAAGTGCAGTGACTTCCATTTTATTTCCCCTCACATTTCTGCTTTGCCTTCTAGCCCAGTCCCCAGGAACTATTAGGGGTTGGGCGTCACAATGTAACTTCCAGTTGCATGACCAGAAGTGACATCACATGTCGCCAGGCCACTTTAGCATTAAACCATAGGAATAGAGGATCCCAGTGATGTGTGATGTCACTTCCAGTCAAATGACCAGAAGTAACATTGCAACGTTGCCACAACAGCACTCCTCCAATGCCGGAGGTGCCCTGCTATAGTGGGAGTCCCCTGTAGCCTAACCGGTGTAACAAATCCTAGCCCTGTGTGTGCTTTGAATTGTGCACTTTTCCTCCTTTAGGTTCAGTTTACGTTCTACCTTGGTAGGCATAGGCTGCTGCTAGTGCAGTCCCACGTTGTGTGGGCGCCTCCCCACTGGCCACTGTCGGAATGAGCAGGCACTGTGTAGTTTGGGCAGATTATAAACACACCCTAGGGCAGTGATGGCGAACCTTTTAGAGACCGAGTGCCCAAACTGTGACCCAAAACCCACTTATTTATCGCAAAGTGACAACACGGCAATTTAACCTGAATACGGAGGTTTTACTTTAGAAAAAACAACTCATACGTTGCCTTAAGATGATCCAAACAAAGTAAGGAAAGCAGTCCCAAATGCTTTCATTGACTTAAAATTATTTGGCAGAGAATTCGACACTTTAATGATGGTCTGGGCCTGGCTGGGGCGATGGCACGCGTGCCCACAGAGAGGGCTCTGAGTGCCACCTCTGGCCCCCGTGCCATAGGTTCGCCACCACTGCCCTAGGGGAAGCCCCTTGAGAGAGGAAGGGGTCACACAGGATGTTAAGCTTGCTGGAAATGGCAGTCACGCCAGCAATGTGTGAAATGTGGCCTAGAGTGTAAAGGGGGGGGGGGGGAGGGAGTGTAGCCTCTCTTTCTCTCAAGAGTTGATACGGGCCAGCTCTTGAATGGTAATTTATTTACTTCATTTATTCCCCACTTTTCTCCCCCCGGGGGAGCTTGCGTTGTTTTCCTCTCCGTCACTTTTACCCTCACAACAATCCTGGGGGGGGGGTGTTTGTGTGTGAGTATTCGTGTGTGCATGCCGGGAAGTCACGGTTGGCTTCTGGCGACCCCTAGTGGGGCTTGGACGTTTCAGAGAAATGGCTTGCTGTTGCCTGCCTCTTCGTCCCGATCCCGGTATTCCTTGGAGGTCTCCCATCCAAGTGCTTGCCTGGGTCGACCCTGCTGAGCTTCCGAGATCAGACAAGATCGGGCTTGCCTGGGCCACCCAGGTCAGGGCTATCCTTATTTATTTTTATTTATTTATTTATTTATTATTAGATTTGTACCCCGCCCTCCCCAGCGGGCTCAGGGCGGCTACAACGGAGGCAATTGCCATAACAACAGTTAAAACAACATAAAAATAATCATTAAACAGTATAAAACAATCTTTAAGTAAAGTGCGGTGCTCTTGATGTTAAATTTTTCTAATCCAAGATGAGTTCCATTCATCAACCTAACCTGACAACATACATTCTTCGGTTAACTAGGCATCTGCCCAGGGCCAGCTCACCTCCAGATCTAATCCACCATCGAAGATGGCAACTCGGTGGTGGTACAGTGACGGCGGCGGCTCCTATGCAAAGGCCTGGCGGAAGAGCTCCGTCTTGCAGGCCCTGCGGAACTGCGCCAGGTCCCGAACCTGCTCTGGGAGCTCATTCCACCAGACAGGAGCCGCCGCCGAGAAAGCCCTGGCCCTGGTTGCAGCCAGCTTGATGTCCTTGGGGCCGGGAACCACCAGTAGCCGGGAACTTGGGGCCGGGAACCAAAATTTATAACTCACCTTTCTGCCCTCAGAAGGGCCACCAAGGCGGATTAGGGTGGGAGCGTAAGACTGACTCAAGGTCACCTCGGTGAGCTTCCATTGCCGAGTGGGGGTCCAAACCTGGGTCCTCCTGTAGCCCCCCAGCCACTACACCCCGGGCCCTTCATGCGCCAGAATAGGCTCCACCACCTTCCTAGAGCCTCCCTCGCTGTCGTAGCAAACAGAGCAAAGAAGCACTCTGAGATATCGTCACACGACTCAACTAGGTGTTCTTTAAGGAGACTGAGACTGTGCCCCTAAAGTGCAAATGAATGGTGCATAAAATCAGCCACGTAGCCCATTCCGTTGCCCCTTGTTCTTGTTCTCGTGGATGCAGTCTCAAACCATGACTGTGTGGTGCCAGTTTGGTGTAGTGGTTAAGTGCACGGACTCTAATCTGGGAGAACCGGGTTTGATTCCCCACTCCTCCACTTGCACCTGCTGATGTGACCTTGGGTCAGTCACACGCTCTGGCACAGCTGTCCTTGAAAAAGAGCAGTTTGTGTCAGAGTTCACTCAGCCCCACCCACCTCGCAGGGTGTCTGTTGTGGGGAGGGGAAGGGAAAGGAGTTTGTGAGCCGCTCTGAGACTCCAAGTGAAGGGCGGGGTATAAATCCAAT